GGGCGCTGCGGGCTGTCACAGTGCATCTGCGCCTGCAGCCTGAGCCCTCTGGGGGCTTGAGACATTCTCAGGTTTGACTTGAATGTCAAGTTCCAGCAGCCCTCCTCTGGATTCGCAGCTTGCAGGGCAGGAAGCGCAAGGGGCTCCTGTGTCTCTCTGACGCCAAGGACGGCCTCTCAGTGGCTGCAGACAGCAGGCTGGGCCAGCCAGCTGCTGCGTGGCTTCGGAAGGAACTGTCTTGTCCCCAGAAAGCAGGCTGACACTCTGTTGTCACTGACACACGGAGACTCTGAAGGTTACTGCCTGCCGTTTGCAGGACTTCTGGAGGCAGCGGCAGAGTCCTCCTGCTGCAGTCCTTTGTCTGGTTGTCTGGTGTCATGCTGACCTTCTCTGGGAGTGACAGATGCCCTGAGCAAGTGTCCAGTGACCTGAACGCCCTGTCCGTCTCTCCCCAAAGTGCCAACATCTCATCAGGAACATCGTCAGATACACTCAGCCATGGCGCACCAAGCACAACTTGCTCACCCCCTTTCCCAGGTCGTGCAAGCAATAAATTGAACCTCGGGTGGGCTCAGGGAACAAGTCGGCCCTGTGCATAAGGCAGAAGGGGTCAGGGGCCGCAGGAGCACGCCGCGCACACACCAGCAGCTCCCTTGCAAAGGGCCCCAGGTCTTCCTGTCGTATCTGCACCCAGTCATCACAAGGTAGCAGCGGTCTATAAGACCCACCCCTGCTCTTTGGTGGGAAAAGTGAGGGGTGCTTCCCCTTGGGGGGCAGCTGGGCTGCAGGTAGAAAACCATAAGGATCATGAGAAGGTTGCTCACATTTTTACCTCTTTCTAGTAGTGGTATGCATTTCAGTTCTGTTTTTTTTTAAGTCACCTCTGTCTCCTCCCCTCTGTCTCTGTCTCTGACTTTTTCTGCCCTTGTTTCTGTCTCTGTCTTTGTCTTTCTCTCTCTCTCTTTCCCTCCCTCCCTCCCTTTCCCTTCTTCCTTTCCTCTCCCCCTCTCTCCCCCTTTCTTTCTCCCTTCCTCCTCTCTCCCCCGCCTCTCCCTCCCTCCCTCCTTTCCTCTGGGATGCCAGGGATGTACCACCACACCCAATAGAATAATCTTTCAGAAAGTCAGCCCTTTGTCCAGCCAATGGGAAATGCATGCATTGTTTCAGACTGATTTATTTGTTTGTGTATGCATTACTTTTCCTGAGAAATTTCAGTGTTGGGAGCGAGGGTCATGGAAGATGAAACTTAATTTTACAAACTGCCCCTGCTGCTCAGGAGTTGATGCTTGCTGCACAGCCCTAGCCACCACCATCTAGTGTCAGTGTCAGCTGAGGTCATAGCATGGTGTTGTGTGTGTGTGTGTGTCTGTGTGTGTGTGTGTCTGTGTGTGTCTGTGCATACCTTATCCTGTTTTGGTTACATGTGACAGAGGCAGAGAGAGACAGACAGACAGACACAGAGAGACAGAGAGACAGACAGACAGAGAGAGAGAGCGAGAGAGCGAGAGAGAGACAGAGAGACAGAGAAACAGAGAAAGAGAGATCGAGAGAAAGACAGAGACAGTGAGAAAGAGACACACAGAGACAGAGAGACAGACAGAGTAAGACAGACACAGAGAGACACAATAGATAGAGACAGAGAGACAGAGAAAGAGAGAGAGACAGAGAGACAGACAGACAGACAGACAGATTCTGTGAGTGAAGAGAAAGTGCAGTGGTTTGCGTGTTCAGCTTTGGCTGTCACCAACTGCTTAATCCCAGTGGGGCTGCCGGTGATTACCCAGCCACAGACCATGTGTCCCTGCCTCTCATTGCTTGGGCACAGAAGTGTCTCCTTTGCCCACTGTTTGGGACCTGAGGATGCTATAGTTATTTGCTGACACATCATGAGCCGTCTTGGCCAGGCGATCTGGGTGTGAAGCACAAGTTCACCTGGCTCCTGTAAGCCTTCTGTACCCAACCCGAAGTCGGCGTACAGCGTGTGGTTAGCTCGTGTGAGTTTTGAGTGCTGGGGAAAATATTTATGTCGACACTAGAATGTTTTGGCGTTAGAGCATGTTTCCCTGGAATTTGCAGATGAGGGCTATTCAGTCTATGGTGCATTACTGTTGTTTTTGAATCATTTATTTATCCAGTCCAGGGTCCCACTACACAGCTGGAACTCTAGTGATCCTCCTGTCTCAGCCTCCCCAGTGATGGGATTACAGGTGTGCACCACCACGCCCAGTTTTGCTGGCCAGCATGGAGCACCCAGGGTTTCAGGGATTGAACCTGGGTCCTTACGCTTGCCAGGCAGACACTTAGACCGCTGAGCTATCTCCCCAGCCTGATGACACATTATTTTTACCCTGAGCCTCTCACCCTTTTGAACCTGGGGTGTGGCTGGGAAGGATGTAGCTGATACATTGTCTGTGATGAAAATTTATGATGACTGTTTGGATTCAAAGCACACGGCCAGCTAGATAGCTCAGCAGATTAAAGTGCCTGCTTAGGCAGATGCAGGGACTGGGGTTTGATTCCCCCATGTGCCATACTGGCCCCGTCTAAGGGGCATACTGAGACAGCTACTGCACCTGGGTGTGGTGTCGGGTAATCCCAGCCCTTGGGAGGCTGAAAACAGGAGGATCACTATGAGTCCAGTCTGCGTAGTGAGACCCTGTAGACCACGTACTAAAAACACAGAAAAAGTTTTAGAAAAAAATGTTTGGTGTACGTTTTCAGCACCCCACATAAGGATGCTTGTTTGTGATTCTCTGTCTGTGTTCTGAATCCCAGGCAAATCCATCTGGAAAATCTTGTACTTCACACCGAAGTTCAATCCTGAGGGTGCCAACGGGTGCTTTTCTACACACTTGTGCTTCTGTTTCGGGGACTACATCACCCACCACGACCCGCCTTTGATGTTCGACGTTTCCAGAGACCCACAGGAGAGAGACCCGTTGACTCCGACAACGGAACCGCGCTTCCACGAGATCCTCAGAACCATGCAGGAAGCAGCCGACAACCACACCAGGAGCCTGCGGGAGGTCCCCAACCAGCTGTCTCCGTGGAACATCGTTTGGAAACCGTGGCTACAGCTCTGCTGTCCATCCACCACCTCTTTGCTGTCTTGTGAGTGTGACAGAGAAAAACAGGGCCAAAGAATAAGCAACTAAGCAGGAGACCGGACAGATACACGTGGCTGAGTCTGCTTCCTTCATCGCGTGTGCTGTCTTGTCTTGCTGCCATGGATGTATTCTCTGTCCTGCCACCGGAAGTCCTGAGCAAGCCCTCCAGAGTGACCCAGCTGGGCCTGGAGTAGCACATGATAAACTGACATCTTCCATGGCCACGATCTTCGAGTCGGTGTTGGTAGGGTGACTGGGACGCTCCCTTCCTGTACCACAGCAGACGGGTTGAGCCAAGTCAAGGGTGACAGCACCCATCCATCCCCCTGCTGGCAGGGTGAGGGGGCATTTACGTGATCTCTCCAAGTTATCCTGCAACACCTGAGCTAAGCGGCATGGTGGCAGAAAGACAGCCCCACTTTGAAGGCTTGAGTAGATCTTAACATCTGCAGCTTTGTAACAAATGAAGGCCCATTCTCTGTCCTAGCCAAAGAGGATGGCACATTCCCGTGTGGTTATAGGAAGCAACTCAGTGTTACTACTTTTACCATAGCAGCATACATTAAAGGCTTTTTGCCATGTAGATAGATAAACAAATACACGGCTACATACATGCATATAGTTTCTTTCCTTGCAAAGGTAAGATGTGTAGGGAATCTAGATGTTTATCACTCAGTAAAAGCCATAGAAGCTCCCAGGTAGATTTGGGCAGTGAATCTATAACAGACTTTTTCGACAAGAGTAAGCCCAAGACAGAGCCCTTGTGCACTGATTCCTAGTCGTCTTCCGTTGTACATTCCCCTCTGTGTTGCTTTTTGGCAGTGGAACACAGAATTACAAGGGAACTTGGGACTGCTACGTTCCCACGCATGTCCTGAAACATAATTCACAATGACTAACATGGAAGGTACATGTTGTCGGGGTCCATGGGGGGTGGGGCTCAGGTCACCCATCTTTTGCACACATCAAAGAAATTACCTTGACCTCGAGGTCCTGTTGGTTCTTTCTTGGGGCTTTTGATTTTAATCCTGTCACTGAGGAGTCTGAGTTTGTGATCCACTGTAAGATGTGTGATTTTGTCTTAATCCGACTTCCTGCCAACCCCAGTGCTTCTGGAAAACTCATAAGCGGGTCACGTAGCAGATGGATTAGGTGGTAAATTGCCAAGTCTGTCTGGAAGAAGATTTAACCATTCTTGGAATTCCAAGGGTGGTCATTTCTTTCACAAGACACATCCACTCAGAAAATGATTAGATGCACTATGGATAAGTGGAGACGGCCCATGTGCGCTGGCTTGCCAGCCCCCGTCGGTCTGGAGGATGAATGTGGGCATCCTCCGGTGGCTCAGCACAGGTCACTCCAAGACCATGAAGGGGACAGGCATACTTAGAGGCTTCTGGATGTTTGGAGAAGTGGATGTCTATCCTGGGCTTTTCTGAAAGTGAATCCCCACATCCTGAACTCCTTCCTGCACAAAGAACCCCCAGGATTCCACAGCATTTTTCCACTGTTCCTTGTAGCTCTTCTAGTCAGCTTTCACTTTCCTTTTCTGGGGAAAGGAATTTTTAAAAAGAAAAAGTGATACACCATCCTACCTTTGGAGTTTTTAAAGCCGGAAAACAAATAGGATTCTTCCTGTTAACCTGAATGTCTTACCCTGGAAGTTGTTCATATTCTGTCGCTGTGCTTCTGGAAGTCTCTTTCCGAAGAACAGACAGGGATGTTGGTGATGTGTGGAGATTACCCTTGAGGGCATTGAGGGAGCACAGGACTTCTAAACTCTGACTTTGGGATGAAATTATTTCCCGAGGAAATCAATGCAAGTGGACTTTTAGAAGACATAGAAGGGTCTGTGGATGTCTGTCCGGAGATCCTGGAACTAAGAGCACTTTTATGGATGGTACTGTACACCTGTATGGGTATAGGATTAGGTATTTAATGTGTGGCATGTCCATAGGACGTGAAACATTCCATATACCTCTCTCTGCATCGGAACTGAGCTTAAAAGTGCCTCAAGAGAACTGAGATCGCGGTGAAAATTCAGGGCATTTCAAAATCATGTTTATATGTGATGACCATGGTGACCAGATTTCAAACTGTCTGCTGTCAGAAGGCTTTCCTTGAATGTAGACCAAGAAATTGGATTTTTTTTTATTTTCTGGAGGGGGGTGGGTCATGCAGGAGACATGCGACAAGGCGGGAAGACACAGGTATTGTTCTCTTCGTTTTACAGAGCTCTAAGGCGTGGCTACAGGTATTGAAGGCATTCTACTGGAACTTTCTCCCCAATTCTGTATTCAAACCTTACTGCAGGTTGAAGCTTTGAGACATTCATATTCCCCACATGCATTTGTTTTGAAATTCATATTCTCCACATTGCATGAATGCCCAAAGCACAGACCACAGCTTGGCAGTGCATATTTTACCGGCATCATTTTAACCTGGTCCTTGACACTGCAGGCAAAACAAAGTTGTAACTGACTTACCTGTGTAAGAAAGAACTTAAAAAGGGGAAGTTGACGCTTCAAAACTTTCCTCAAGGACATGCAGTATGAATGAACAAAAGACACAAAAAACCCACACACGCACACGCACACACAAACACACACACACACACACACACACATACACACACGAATAGTATTTGGCCCATTTCCAGAAAATGCTGCTTTCAAAACAAATGCATCAGATAAAACAGATTCCTTATTCCATGTTCATGCAAAGCTGAATAAAATATTCCTTGGCAAGTAAAAATGTTGTGTCCAAATTCTCTGCTTTCCGGGCCAGCCAGATAGCTCAGTGGACTAAAGCGCCTGCTTCGGCAGGTGCAAGGACTGGGGTTCAATCTCTGGAGTGCCATGCGGCCTGGCCCCTGGGACGCGGTGAGATGGTGACTGAGACTGGGCGTGGTGGTGGGCACTTGTGATCCCAGTGCTTGGGAGGCTGAAAACAGCAGGATCACTACAAGTCTGAGCTTTAAAGCTAGACCCTGTACGAAATAAATAAATCTTTAAAAAGAAAATGTGCTATTTACACATAATGGAGTACTACTCTGTCAAAAAGAAGGATAAACTTGAGTCATTTTTTAAAAACTGGATGTACCTTGAGACCACACTATTAGTGGTCTCAAGTGGCTCAGATACATGAGCTTAACCCATGTTATAAAAAGTTAAACAGCTAAATAAATGATAGGTGCTAGGAAATAGGGAGGTAGATCTTTTGCAGATGGGAAGAGGGCCCAGGAAGGGAAGGGAGGGAGAGGGAAGAAAGGGGGACGGGAGTAAAAAGAATGAAGATGTGTTACGTTCAGGTGCAAACTCCTCCCCATGATGAAGGCAGTTATGGGCTACATGCATGTGCTAAAAAAAGTAAAAATGTTTAAAAAGAAAATAACCTTTCCTCATCCCAGTTTTTTCCTTCCCTCTGAACGATTTCCTTCCCTTTCACAGTACCTGATGTATCTTTCTGATTTTCAGGACTCTTTCAGGTTCTCACATAATCATTATAATTCCACGTTTGCACATGTGGAGCTGACTCATTTCACTAATCGGTACAGTCTCTAGCTGCAGTCGTTTATCTACAAAACCTCACATTTATCACTTTTTGTTGCTGAATAATACTCCATTGTGTAAAAACATCGTAACTTTTGTTTTTAAAAATAAAAGGAAAGTAACCCCTGACCTCAGTAATTAGAGGACAGAAGAAAGCCAGATAGTTAACATTTATGGATGCCAAACCATGTTTTAATTCGTTGTAAAATTTGAAGAAGGGCAGGGCATGTAGCTCAGTGGTAAGAGACCTGCTTACCGTGTGGAAAATGCACCCAGTTCCAGCCTCGCTCTGCATAAACAAGTCCCCAAAAATAAAATCAAAGTAACAAAATATGAGCATAGAAATTTGAAGATTTTATCATCGTTTGGGCCAACATGGTCATAAAGTGTGCTTGTGGTGTGCCCCCCCCCCGTGTGTTATGTTTTTGTGTAGTATATTTCATATTAAAACCCACTATACTCCGCCTCTATGACTCATTGAAGTCTTCATGGCCCAGGGCAGAGACCCGACCCTGGTGAATGACTGCTTTTTGCCAGCATTCGGGACAGAATTTTCATGCAGGCAACTCTTTTCTTGCTTTGCTCTTTTCAAATGGATTTAAAAAGAAAATATACCAGAGTCAGAACAAATCCCCCAAAGAAGAAGTAGGTCTGTCTGTTCACCCCAATACCTCATCACATTCTTCACCCTCCACCCTGCTGAGGGACGTCCGTTCCCCGTGCCTTGTGTTCGGCAAGAATCCTGTTAGTGGGGCTGGTGAGATAGCTCAGTGGATTAACGTACCTGCTTAGGCAGGTGCAGGGACTGTGGTTAGATCCCTGGCACCACATGCTGCACCAGACCCGCCCAAGGACAGGCTGAGCAGGACAGCGAGTCCAGGCAGTGGTGCATGGCTGTAATCCCAGTGCTGGGGAGGCTGAATAAAGGAGGATCAC